GCTCATCACTTTCTTCGTGTCCCACAAATCGCCCACATTTTGGGCCAAACTTTGCTGATCTGTGGCCACAAGTATTTGGTACGCCTTTTGCGACAGATTTTGTTTCTTGGGATCCGTTGCCTCGAGAATCCATTGAAGTCGTGGTTGTGTTGTGTCCACTGATAATGGATTCAAAAGGTATTCAGTCTTGAGTTCAACGGCTCTCATATCACTCAACGATTCCGTGAATGAAAAGAGTGTTTGAATGAGAAGTATGACTGAAATGATTGTAAAATTCATATTTAATTTGTAAATAATTCTTAAGTTTAATAATTATTAAGTTATGAAAGCATTGCCTGATTTTGGTCTCAATTTATAGCAATTTTGCGAAACGAAGTAAATGTATTGAAAATCAAAGTTTGAAAAATAAGTTATGCGATTACTTTGTGAATTATTTCTTAATCTCCATGTGTGTGGTAAATATATCAGAGTCATTTTCGTGCAAAAATCTTAGAAATTTCCACAACGTTTAAAAAACCCTTGTTTTTTAATAAGTTAAAATTAAGATTTAAAATAATTTTTATACAACATAAGTTAGTAATCCCATTACTATTTACACATGACACATAACCAGTTATTCAATTTATTTCACATAATCTAGTGTTAATTATGAACTTGTTTGATTTGTAATCAAGGTTAAATATTTGCAAGAATTTTATTACATCATAAAGTCCTATGGACTTTGAGTTTGTATTACAGATAATTTTAATAATCTTAGATATTACCATAAAATTATGATTCAGGATATATCTCAAATTTTTAACTTTTACCGTAAAACATATAATTTTAAATGTTTATTAATAGCTAAAAAGTATCTCAGAGATGACTTTCAAGTATTTAATGATATATACCGATAATTTTAATAAAGATATTTCAGATTATTTATTTATTATAATGCTTAAATAAGTGTAATTTTAAATCATTGATTTTATAATTAATTATGTTTTAAAAACAATTGTAAACTCAATATTGATTATCATTATAAATTGTTTTATTATATTTTTTGATTTTTAGTAATGAAATTAACTAGAATCCAATAGTTATATTATATATTTTTAAATTTATATTATATTTATGTGAATTAATCCATTGTTATTGTGAAATTATTTTATTTGTATAGAAAGTTAAATATTTTAAAGTATTTTGTTAAATACTCGGGTGTTTTAATTTGTATCTATTAGCTAGTACTTAGCCAATTATAAATTAATAATTTAGGACTATGTTTTAATATAAAGTAATATAATTGTATAATTAAAGTAAGAATATCTTTATTTGTAAATTAATTGTTTAAAATAATGTCCAGGAATTGAATTTATTAGTTTATTTTATAAATTAATAATATAAATTGAGTTTAATATATTCAATTTGTAGTAAATAACGAATTAATTTTTAGTATATTGAATTAGAAATTTAATCCATAGTAACTTTGAAAGTATAGGTCCCGGAGCCCACTTCATACACTTTCCCACTCTTAGCAAAGGTTAGGTCAACAGAAGCCATAGTATTGACAGGAATTGAAGTCTAAAATAAATGTAAAAATTATTAATAAGTATTAAGTAATGCTTCACAACATTATAATTACATTCATTACGAATTGATTGCCTATTGTTTGCCACGAGTTCTCAATGAACCCATTGATTGACTTATAAGAGGACTTCACAAACGAGACACCATTTCCGGGGTTGGGCTGTATTTTGATGTGTTTAAAGCCCACCATTTGGTTGTCGGTGTCAATACCGGCCACGTATTGGTAGATCCATCTGCCTATAGATCCCATACCAAAGTGATTGAATGAATTCATGGAGGGATCCATAAACCCCTTGTCCTCAGTCCATGTGTCCCAGTGTTCCCACATTGCGGTCGCATTGTGTGCTATGGCGTAACCCCATGACGGGAATGTCTCCTGTAATACCAGACGATATGCCACATCCCGGTGCCCATACTTCACCAGAACCTCGTTCGCAAAACCCACACCTTTTATAATAAGTTTGAGAATTAAATTCATATTTAAAGTGTAACCCAAACTTACTGATGAATCCAGTGGTGTAGTGGTAGTCATGAGCCTTAATATTGTCGACCAAATGGTTAACCGCAAGTGGTCTCAGGTTTTCGGGTAAAAGCTCGAAGGCCAGGGCTAACACATACCCGCCCTGAGTGTCGCCTTTGATCTTACCATCGGTTGTGTTGACAAATGCTTTTGTGAAGGCATTGGAGATATTTGTATGCAATTCTGTGTAAAACTTCACGTCATCCGTACGGTTGAGAGCACCGGCCATTTGGGTCATAAGTAGGGCGTCGTAACCAAAGTATGAGGTGTCGAACACATCTTTGGGTGTCTGGGCGTTGATTTCAAGCCAATCGCCAAAGTTTTCAAAAGTCATTTGAGTCCATAAGTAGTTAGGATTTGCGGCCTTTATGTCGGCCACCCATGTCTTCATTGACTCGTAACTGACTTCCAGTATCTGTTTGTCTCCATACATACGCCACACATTGTAGGGCACTATAAGGCCGACGTCACCCCATGCCGGCGCCGCGTCGTTAAATGTCCCCAATCTGGGCGAGACATTGGAGAAGTGGCCGCCATTACGGACGGCTTCCCTCACATCCCGGAGCCATTTGCTATAAAGGGCGGTCATATCGGCGTTATAACTGGCCGTATGTATGATAGCGGCGGCGTCTCCCGCCCAACCCAATCGCTCGTCCCTTTGAGGACAGCCATGTGGTATAGACCATACGTTTCCCTTTTGACTCCACAACACGTTTAGCCACAAACGGTTCAGGAGTTTGTTGTCTGATTCAAAGTGTCCGGTGAATGGGGTGTCCGTATGGGCGACACGACCCATAAAGTCAGTCAACTGGGGTTCGCCCGGAAAGCCACTGACCTCTAAGTACTGCCAGCCGTGGTATGTGAAGTGGGTCTCAACCGACATACCTGTTGCACCCGAGTCTGTCATAATTGTATCAAAAATATTAATTGCTATATAAAGTTGATATAAAGTGGTCATACCTTCAATAACATATGTGTCTATAGATCGGGCCCTCCTATAGTTTAGTGTATAGATACTGCCGTCGGGATTGAGTGCTTCGGCATATCTTAACTGAATTCTCATAGACTTGTGATTCTTAGGGACTTTGATCCCAACCCATCCAACCATATTCTGTGCAAAGTCTAAGATCCAAACCCCGGGACTTATTTGTCGTTTGGATTTAGGGATCAACTCCTCTGTCACCCGAATTGGTTGAGCTCTGTCTGCTATATGTGCCACTGTTTTGTTTATAGGTTTGGTCACAACGGCTGTCCATTGGGTGCTATTATTAATTTCTCGGTTTTGATAATATAGCTCTCCCTGTAGAATATCGGAGTACATTATGGCACCGGTAGTCACTTGCCAAGTGCTGTCTGACTTAACAATTAATGTCTTATTGTTTTCATAAGTTATGTGTAATTCAAGTAACAAGTATTGATCGATTCCGTAG